CCCCCTGCGGAGGGCGAGGCCGGCTCGGGCCTGGGGGCCCCCCCGGGGGGCCCCCCGGCCACGGCGCCGGGCTCGCCCGAGGGGCCCCTCTGGCCGGGGGGGGGCCCCCCGGAGAGCCCCCCGGGGGCCTCGGGGGCCCCCGACGCAGAGGGGGGCCCCCAATGTGAGGGGGGGCCCCCCGACAGCTCGGAGCCCCGAACCCCCACTGTGGGGAGCCGCCTGGGGTCTGGGGAGGGGCCCCCCTTGTCTTTCTTTTTGCCGCGTCCGGGGGCCCCCCTGGACCCTGGCAGCCCCTCCCTAGGGGACCCCCTGGGGGCCCCCCTCTTGGGGGCCCCCTTCACTTCTTCTGTCCTTTCCGAGGGGCCCCCCTGGCAGGAGGGCCCCCGCCTGGGTCCAGACCCTCTTAAGGCCTCCCCGCTGGACCTTGCGGGGGCCCTTTACCGCCTCGCGCTGGGGGGGGGCCCCCCGGCCCTCAATGAGCAGCAGCAGCAGCAGCAGCAGCAGCAGGTGCTGCTGGCGCCGCAGCAGCAAGCTGCAGCAGCAGCAGCAGCAGCAGCAGCACCAGAGGGCCCCAATGCGCGCCACGGGTCTTTCCTGTCTGCTGCTTCCACCGCAGCTTCTGCTGGCAGGGGGCCCCCCCTGGACCCTGGGGAGGAGGGGGGCCCCCCCGAGGCCCCCGAAAGGTCCCCTTTGCAGTCTCCGGGGCCCCCCTGGCCTATCGCAGCTCAAGCGCAGCAGCAGCAGCAGCAGCAGCTGCTGCTGCTGCAGCAGCAGCAGTGGGTCTCTGCCGCTGCCGAGCAGTACCTCACCCAGGGGGGGGCCCCCATACCCTCTCTTACTTGGCAAGAGCCCTTCGGGGGGCCCCCCAGTGGGCCCCTCAAGGACCCGCTGAAGGGGGGGGGCCCCCTAAGCATGCGTCTGTGTGGGGCCTTCCCGCAGCAGCAGGGCGCAGCAGCAGCAGCTGCTGCTGCTGCTGCTGCTGAACCTTCTTTGCTGCAGCGGCAAACCCTCCCCAGGGGCCCCCAGCCCATTGCTGAGAGGCCCTCGCTGCAGCAAAGCTCCGCTTGGGGCCCCCAGAGGCCCCAGGGGCCCCAGGGCCCCCGCGGGGCCCCCAGCAGCAGCGGCATTAGTCCGCAGCTGCTGCTGCAGCAAGCCGCCTTTCAGAACGCAGCACCGTTTCCTGCTGCTCCCGCTGCAGCAGCAGCAGCAACTGCTGCTGTTGCTGCTGCTGCGGGAGGGCTGAGGGGCCCAAGCCCCAAACTGGAGGCCCCCATGCTGCATGCAGCCCGCGGAAGCAACAGAGACAACTCCGGAGTGGGTACTGTTTTGAGGGCCCCCGGGGCCCCTGGGGGCCCCCTGGGGCCCTCGGGGGGCCCCCTGGAGGGCCCCCAGTGGGCCTCCAAAGACTTCAGTGCCCTCCTGAGGTGCTACCTGGAGCTGCTGCTGCGGAAACAGCAGCAGCAGCAGCAACAGCAACAGCAGCAGCAGCAGCAACAGCAGCAGCAGCAGCCGCAGCAGCAGCAGCAGCAGCAGCAGCGGCACTTTCCGAGAGGCCTTCGAAGGCAACGAGGGCATAGGGGGCCCCCCAGGGCCCCACAGGGAGCAGTTGCTGCTGCGCAGCAGCGGAGGGGCCCCCGGTGGCCGTCCTTCGCGGGATTTCAGCAGCAGCAGCAGCAGCAGCAGCAGTTGCTGCTGCGTGCTGCAGCAGCAGCGGAGAGGGCCCCCAGCATCAATATGGAAATGGCTGCACTTGTGGCATCGCCGGGCTCCGAGGGGGCCCCCCTGGGGGGCCCCCAGTACCCTCCGGCATTCCGAGGGGCCCTTCGCGTGGGGCCCCCAGCAGGGGCAGCCTTGAAGTCTGCTGCTGCACCTAATGTGGAAGCACTTGCTGCAGCAGCAGCAGCAGCAGCAGCAGCAACTCAGGGGCCCCCGGGGCTGGGAGTCGCAAGCCCCCAAAGCATTCTCTTAGGGGCCCCCCCGGCCTGGCAGAGCGCCGCTGTATCGCAGAGCCGTTTCAATTAGTACCCTCTGGGGGCCCCCCAGGGGCCCCCCAATGTGCGTCACAGGGGCCCCCAGAGGCCCCCAGAGGCCCCCAGGGGCCCCCTTCTGGCTTATGTGGCAATTGCTACGCCGGACCCAATGGGGGCCCCCCAAGCTGCCTCTAGTCTTCGCCGTCTCCCCCAAACCAGCAGACAGGGGCCCCCCTGTGGACCGCAGGGGCCCCCCGGGCCCCTGGGGGCCCCCGGCCCCGGGGGGCCCCCCGGCCCCGGGGGCCCCCCGGCCCCGGGGGGCCCCCCGGCCCCGAGGGGGCCCCGTCTCATGTTTAGGAATATGATGAAGTCGGAGGGCCCCCACGGCTTTCCGGCCCTGCGGCACTGGGGGCCCCGGGGGCCCCCAGTACCCTAATTGCAAGCACAGTTTGTTCTGTAGATAGATAAGGCGGGGGCCCCTGTAAGGGCCCCCCTCTTGCCCGAGACTCGAAACGTTGCAGCCATTCCTATATGCTGTGTCTCCTGGGGGCCCCCAGGGGGCCCCTGCCGCCATTTAGAGATCTTAAAGGAGCCTGGGCCCCTGCGTTTTGTTATGAGGCCCAGCTGCAGCGCCGCTGCAGCTGGGGGCCCCCAGCAGGGGGCCCCCGCCTGGGGGCCCCGCTTAGTACCCTCTTGGGGGCCCCCGGGCGGCCGGCCTAGAGGGGCCGCTGCGTGCTCTCATTTGCATGCATTGCCAACAGGGGCCTTTCGTAGGGGCCCCCCGGGGCCCCTCCAAAGGGCCCCCAGGGCCCCGCCACGGGGCCCTCCTGGGGCCCCCAAGGGCCCCCAAGGGCCCGGGGGCCCCCAGGGGCCCCCAGAGGCCCCCAGAGGCCCCGGAGGGGCCCCTGGCGCTTCTGAGCGGCGGGCTGAAAGCCGCAGTGCATATGTTTGAGGGGGGCCCCCAGGGGCGGGGCCTAGCGGGGGGCCCCCAGTACCCTTTTGCTGCTCTTGTGTCTCCTTTCTTAGCCCTCTTAGATTCCCCGCGCTGCATGCAGCCAGGCGCATGCAGCAGCGGGGGCCCCGGGGGCCCCCTTTGTTTTGAGGGTTTGGGGCTTTGCCGGGGCCCCACAGCTGTGCACCGCGCTGGCCGCCGCCCCTGGCTAGCCATGGCTAGCTGGCTAGCCACCAGCTAGCCGGCGCCTCGCCGTCGCCTAGCTGGCTGCCGGGAAGCTCCAGCTAGCTAGCTAGCTAGCTGGCTAGCCATGCAGCTAGCTAGCTGGCTGGCTAGCTAGCTGCCGAGCTGGTCACCGAGAAGGCGAGCTAGCCAGCCACCGAGCCAGCTACCTAGCCAGCTAGCTAACCAGATGCCTACCAGCTAGCTGGCCAGCTAGCTAGCCAGCTAGCTAGCCAGCTAGCTAGCTAGCTAGCTACTGTGTAGCGGCCGCCCGCAGACCCTAGAGCCAGTGACCTTGTGGGGAGTTTCTCTTCCTGGCTCGGCTTCGGGAGCTTTGGGTGCAAATAAAAAGGGAAATAAACAAAAATAAAACATTTTGAATTAATTTTGAATCAATTTTGAATTAATTTTGAATTAATTTTGAATATTTTAGTTTAATTATAATTCAAAAAGTCCAAAATAGTGCAAAAACACCAAAAGCGCGGACAGCAACCCTAGTTCCCAGTCGCGGGCTCTGCGAGACGCACGCAGCTGCAAACCCTAAACCCTAAACCCTCATTTAGCGAATTAAATATCTGTAGGCTTTATATAGTCTCAAGTGCATGCGCCGGGGGGCCCGGGGGCCCCAGGGGCCCCCCGGGCCCTTCACGCTAAACCCTAAACCCTCGCAGCGGGAGTAAACCCTAAACCCTCGGGTAACTGCGTCGAAGACACAAAACCCTTGGGTTGTTTGCTGAATGTCAAGACCTCCTTCTTTCTTTTGGCACTAGGGTTTAGGGTTTAGGGTTTAGGGTTTAGGGTTTGGGTCTAGGGTCTAGGGCTTGGGGCTTGAGCTCTGCCAATCGGGACTTGAAATGATGACAAGTGGCTGTAGGGCGGCTAAGATTTAGGGTTTAGGGTTTAGGGCTTAGGGTTTAGGGTTTAGGGTTTAGGGTTTAGTGTTTGGGGTATTCCCAGACAGAGACAGCGACACGCGATGGAATCGAGGGGCCCAGAAGAGGGCTCGGAGGCGGACCCTGCTGCTGCTGCTGCTGCTGCAGCACCTGCTGCTGCAGATTCGACGCTGGAAGATGCAGCAGCAGCAGAAGCAGCAGAAGCAGCAGCAGCAGAAGAAGCAAATGCAGCAGCAGCGGCTGAGGTGGCGGAAGGGGAAACTGCTGCAGCGGCCCCAGCAGCCTCAGGAAGCCCCGAAGCAGCAGCAGCAGCAGCAGCAGCAGCTGAAGCGGGGGACGCAGCAGCAGCAGAAGCAGGGGACGCAGCAGCAGCAGCAGCAGCAGCAGCAGCAGCAGCAGACATGGCCGAAGGCGAGGAAGCTGCCAGTCCTTCCGAGTCGGCGTCCGACGCAGCGTCCGCAGCAGCAGCAGAAACGCCAGAAGCAGCAGCAGCAGCAGCAGCAGCAGCAGCAGCAGCAGCAGCAGCAGCAGGAAGCGAGCCAACAGAAAACCTCTTTGGCTCCGCCGATGAAGCCAGCAGCAGCGAAGGGTCTCTAGCGAGTGACGGAGACTTATTTGGGGAAGAAGTGTCTCCTGTTGCTGCTGCTGCTGCTGCAGCAGGAGACTCGGATGCGGAGGGCGGAGCAGCAGCAGCAGCAGCAGCAGCAGCAGCAGAAGAGGCCGAGGCCCGCAGCACGGAGGAGACCCCCAAAGAAGCAGCAGAACGGCTGCCCCCGCTGCTGCTGCAGTTAGGAGACACCTGGGCCCCGCAGCAGCAGCAAACTGCTGTTTGGACTTGGAGAGTCCCCCCGGCTTTGTCTCTCATTTACGCAGCAGACCAGCAGCAGCAGCAGCAGCAGCAGCAGCAGCAGCAGCAGCAGCAGCAGCAGCAGCAGGTTGCGATCAGGTGAGCCAGACGCGCGGGGGCACGGGGAGGCGCTTTTCGCTGCAGGGCGAAGGGTTGGGGTTTAGGGTTTAGGGTTTAGGGTTTGGGGTTTAGGGCTTAGGGTTTAGGGTTTAGGGTTTAGGGTTTAGGGTTTGGGGCTGGAGCCCGGCGACTTAGGACTTGGGATTTCCTACTGCCGCCCCTACGCAGGTTCTTCAACGATGAAGCTGCAGCAGCAGACGGCAAACCCGCAGTAAGGGTTTAGGGTTTAGGGTTTAGGGTTTAGGGTCTTGGGCAGGGCAGGCGCGACGAAACTGTAGGCTTGAGATGGAGCATTTAGGGTTTTGGGGAAGAACCCGTGTCGGGCCGTTTTTATTAATGCTCATATCGTGGGAGCTAGGGTTTAGGGTTTAGGGTTTAGGGTTTAGGGTTTAGGGTTTAGGGTTTAGGGTTTGCTGTGCGCTGCTGCAGTCTAGGAGCAACTGCCGGCTGGTGCAGTTCAGCGACGACTCGTATTGTCTCTTTGTGGACGACAAGGGGTTTGAATGCAATGTCAGTCTCGAGGGTTTAGGGTTTAGGGTTTAGGGTTTAGGGTTTAGGGTTTGGGGGCTCGATGGGGTTTCAGCTGCCCACTCAGATTCGGGGGTTTAGGGTTTAGGGTTTAGGGTTTAGGGTTTGTGGCGGTTTGAGGGGCGGGGTTTGCAGATCAAGAATGATGTCTCCTACATCTTTGAGTCCAAAGGAGTCCGCAGCTGAGCCGCATTTTAGGGTTTAGGGTTTAGGGTTTAGGGTTTAGGGTATAGGGTTTAGGGCTTAGGCAGTAGCTGCTCAGCCAGCTCGCAGCTCGCTAGCCATCCCTCAGCTAGCTAGCTAGCTAGCTAGCCCTCAGGTAGCTGGCTAGCTAGTCGCCCCTCAGCTAGCTAGCTAGCTAGCTAGCTAGCTAGACAGCCACCCCTCATCTAGCTAGCTAGATAGCTAGCTAGCTAGCCACCCCTCAGCTGGCTAGCTAGCTGTGGGCTAGCTAGCTAGTCATCGCTGAGCTAGCTAGCTACGATCTAGCTAGCTGGCCACCCTCAGCTAGCTGGCTAGCTACGGGCTAGCTAGCTAGCTGTGGCTGGCTAGCTGTTGTGGCTTTGCAGGCGCGGGGCCCTCTCTGCAGTGTAATGGCTTCGGACAAAAGGCTGCAAATGCTGCTGCCGGCGGGCTTCGGTGAGGCCTCATGCTGCTGCTGCTGCTGCTGCTGCTGCTGCTGCTGCTGCTGCTGCTGCTGCTGCTGCTGC